ACCTTTGCTTTCAATTGTTCTTCTTGGTATAGTAAACCACATGATAGATTCAGAATGTCCAGTTCCAGTTCATTTCTGCTCACTAATGCCTAGGATATCAATCTGTATTCATTGCATTTCATTTTTGATAACTTCTGCATTTCCTAGATTAACATTTCCTACATTCCGCATTCTGATTAATAATGTAAGCTTGTAGCAATTTTTTTCTCATTTTGAGTTGTGCCTCATCAGAAAATGAAGGTCCCAAAAGCTCTTTGTGGTCAACTCTACATTGAATAGACAGCTCTTCCTCAGTCGTATTTTGAGTGCATTCTAATCTGAGGGGATCATCTTCTAGTACTATACCTGAAAATGTTATTTATATTGCTATGCATAAGGTTTTCATCTTCTGGCACTATATCTGACAGTGTCCCATTGCTTTTCATAAGGTTTTCAGAAGCTAAACATTCAGAGTTTATCTGCCTCTGCTTTGTAGACTGATTCAGTTTGGAAGCTCTGCTGTAATCTGCTCTCCATAGGTGATTGTACTAGTGTTTACAATATCAGTGATAAGCTTTCCAGCATCCCAGCAGCATCCCAGCAACAACACGCGAGCCACCACAGTACAACATACTGACATTAGAGTGGTGAACTGATAGGCATAGAGGTTGGGGTTTGCGTCACAGAATGGAGGAATGTGACTAACTTGTGGTTAAGCAAGTAACTGCACTGCAGTCCAGCTTTCACATTCATGAGTCAGTTGAAAATACAATGTATGTTTCGTCCTTAGAGGAATATCTTTGTATTTTTGCAGCATATTTGCCCAATACTATATGTCCTAGTGTGGTACTTTAGGATAAGCACTAGGCAGCAAGGTCAGTTTGAACTGGAAGGTCGGTGGTTCAAATTCACCAGCTGTTCCTCAAAAACCCTATATAGGGTCATTATGAGTCAGATACAACTTCACGACACTTCAAAACAACATATGTCCTTAGATTTTTTGATTGTTATTTCCCTTGGTGTTGATTTTGTATGGAAGTAAAATGAAATCCTTGGCAGTTTCAGTATTCTCTGTATTTATTGTGATACTGCTTATAGTTCTACTTGTGAGGATTTTGCTTTCTTTGTATTGAGGTATAATCTATCTATACTGAAGGCTGATCTTTATTAGTAAGTACTGTAACTCTTCACTTTCAATAAGTACAGTTGTGTCATCATTGTACTGCAGGTTGTTAATGAGTCTTCCTTCTGTCCTTATGACCACTTTTGTGTTCACACACAGGCATACCTTGCTTTATTGCACTTTGATTCATTGTGCTTCACAGATACTGGTGTTTTTTGTTTTTTAAACAAATGGAAGGTTGTGGCAACCTGTATCAAGCAAATCTCTATTATCACTTTCCAACAGCATGTACCCCATTCATGTTTCTGTCATAATTTGGTAATGTTCATAATATTTCAAACTTTTTCATAATATTATTAAATACTTTATAAAGTACAGTATAGTGTAAACATGGCTTTTACATACTTTGGGAAACCAAACAATTTGGATGGCTTACTTTATAGCAATGCTCAATTTATTGCAGTGAACTGTTAGTGAGCCCACAATATCTGAGGATGCCTAAAGTTCAGCTTCCATGGATTATTTGTTCAGCAGTGCATATGGTGATAGGATGCAACCCTGACGTTTCTTGATTATAAGCAATGCACTGTCCCTTATTAGTTCTGTTCAGAGGACTGCCTCTTGGTTTACATGCAAGTTCCACAGGACCATAACTTAAGTGTTCTGGAATTCCCATTCTTTGCAATGTTATCTATAATTTATTATGATCTCCACTGTAGAATGCCTTTGCATAGTTGGTGAAACACAGGTAGAAATCTGATATCCTGTGCTTTTAGCCAAGGTACATGTGATATCAACAGTGATAACCCTTTATTTTGTCTTTTTCTGAATCTTTAATTTCTAGAATTTCCTTGTTGATGTACTGTTGTAAACATTTTGAATTGTCTTCAAATTTTACTGGGAAGAGTAGGCTTGGCTTAAATTTGTAGATAGAGATAGTTTCAAAACATTTATTGAATTTGGTGTGCTTACCTGAGTTAGTGTTTTTTTATTGTCTGAGTAGGATGTAACCGTGAGTATCGGGTTTATTTTAAAACCCTTTTGTGGAGATTTGTGAGTGGCTTTCATTCATGTTCATTTATTATAACTGGACATTTTGCTAGTAGTTTACTGTGTTTTGACAGTTAATTGTTTATTGCTGTTTGAAACAAATTGATTTTACAGCCATAAACTAACCCAACACCTGCAACAATTATATTTTTACTAAATAGTATTTCATGGGGTTTTTGTGTTTTTTTTTGAGACCAGCATTTATATAATATATATATTTTTTGTTGTTGTTGTTAAGTGCCGTGGAGTTGGTTCCAACCCATAGCTACCCTGCACAGGGTTTCCGAGGCTGTAAATCTTTACGGGAGCAGAACACCTCATCGTTCTCCTGTGGAACCGCTGGTAGTTTCGAACTGCTGACCTTCTGGTTCACAGCCCAATTCGTAACTACTACGCTACCAGAGCTCGCTCTCTCTCTCTCTCTCTCTCTCTCGCTCTCTCGCTCTCTCTTGCTTTGTCTCTCTAGATATATATATATATAAAATTTGCATACATACTTACACACTTTTTTTTTTTTTTTAAGGTGGGGAAGCCAGGATAGAAAGGTTTACAATTTGAAATGTATACTTTGAGAGTAAGACAACCTTCACCTGACAGTTTAGTCATAACAATTAAGAAGTTTCCCTTACCAATGAAATTTCTTTGTTCTCTATGGAGGTTTAACTTAATCTCCTAAATTGGATATTCTAAAGCATAGGTTCTGACCCATAGCGACCCTGTGTAGGGTTTCAGAGGTGCATCTGGTGAGTTTCAACCACCAACCTTGCAGTTCCTTACAGTTCAGCATATTCTGTAGTTCCACACCAGGACTTCAGGAGTACATTAACTTAAAAAGAAAAAAAAAAAGTACATTAACTGGTCTTAATTAAGCTATGTGGACTATGCAGGGCAAAAAAGAGCATTAAGAATTTATATGCAGCACATCTTTGTTACCAAACTTACATGATTATAAAGTAGATGGTTACTTGGGTTACTTTGTACTGTTCTCATGTAGAGATTGTGGTTTAATAAGTTTGGGTATTAAACCTGGGGATTGATATGTTTGGTAAGCTCTCTGGGTAATTGTTATCATAGTTTGGGAAATACTGATTTAAACCGTATAGAAACTTCACTATTCCACTTAGTTCATTCTGTGTGGGTTTTTTTTTTTATGGTGATATATAGCTGAACAAAATAAACAAAAATCATTGACCTTTTAAAGCTTACATTCTGATTGGGAGACCAAAAATAAGCCAGAGTAACATGTGGCTCAGAGTAATGTGAGATTAGAGAGAGACTCTGTCAAGCCTTTGGTTGGTTTTAGTTGTTAAAGCATACTGTCAGTGTGAGCATCTTGACCTGCTAGGTGAGAATCTAGTTGTTACAGGTACATATTTTTAGTATTTGAAGACCAAAACTGCCTATTGTTTTAACAGAGGAAACCCTGATTGAATCAATTCATGTTGCCTAGTGTGGCATCTTTAAAGGATTTTCCAAAGGAAAGTTTCACTAAAAGTGATTATTGGCGTTTTCCTCTATTTTTATATACTTGAGTTGCTAGCGTTGCTATTTTGCAAAATTTGTTTTGTTAAACCTTTTAATAGAATTTTCTTAATTGCTCCATGATGGAAACTGGTAAATATTACAATTTTTAAAAATAAAAGAAATGAAATCCAATAGCCAATTCACAGAATGAAAATTCTTTGACATGTACTTTCATTTTGATAACTTTTAAAAAGTTAATGTCCTAAATACTTGTGTGGAGCTCTGGTAGCATAGTGGTTACGAATCGGGCTGCAAACCTTAAGGTCAGCAGTTTGAAACTACCAGCTGTTCCGCCGGAGAAAGATGAGGCTTCATGCTCCCATAAAGATTTACAGCCTCGGAAACCCTGTACAGGGTCGCTATGAGTTGGAAATGACTCCACGGCACATAACAACAAATACTTGTTTAATTGTACTTGAAATTCAAGTGCATTTACACAAGTATTCAAGACATTGAAATCTCAGGACTTCATTGAAATCTTGAAGAACTGGTTGACACCTAGATTTCCTGACTTAATTTTGGATGTTAATCTTCTACGATTAGGATTAGTGGAAGAAAAAATTATAGTCATTACAGCAGAATCCTTAATTTTTAGCAGGTTTACTTATTAGAGCCATTTGAAAGGCTTATCATTTGTGAAAGACACATCTCTGTTTCTTAAGATGGAATGTAGTTTCACTCAGCAAGGTCAGATGTTTCCCAGTGATCTCCTTCCTGGTACTGCTTAGTGCATGGGAGAAGAATATAGTCCCTTACAACTCCTGAAGTGGTGCCATCTGGCAGCATTAAAATGGCTGTGGAAACTGAACCCATGAAAGAACATGTCTGTCACTTTTTTATGGTCCCTGGTGATTTGTTGTTGTTAAGTGCTGTGGAATCATTTCCGACTCCTAGCGACCCTGTCTGGAGTTTCTGAGGAACGGCTGGTGAGTTTGAACCACCAACCTTGTGGTTCCAAGGAGTCTTGCAGTCCAGTATATTATCACGCAGCATCCCATCAGGACTCCCTGGTGAGGGGAAGACCGTTTTTTAAAACTGTACTTATTTTAAATTTGTGAATGGCTTATGAAATCAGATGAATAACAGAGAATTTTGAATGTCATCACTGGACTATTTTGAATTGTTATTTAAGGTTTGATTTTTCTGGGAAAAGAAGATGGCTGTTACATTTAAATTGTATATTTCTTCCATATATGTAAGTCACGGGAACAATTGATCCAAGCTTTGTTGGTTGCTTCTGGTACTGTAGTTGTAGGTGGAAGTGGAGAAAAAGAGTTTGTTTGAAGTATGGCACCTTTGATGTTGTCTCTCTTTCTCCTGCCAGGGAGGACATGTATGCCCAGGACTCTATAGAGCTACTAACAACATCCGGTATCCAGTTTAAAAAACATGAGGAGGAAGGAATTGAGACCCAATACTTTGCAGAACTTCTTATGACATCTGGAGTAGTCCTCTGTGAAGGGGTCAAATGGTTATCATTTCATAGGTAAAAAGACTGCATTAAAATGGCATTTGTGTTACCATCTCATACCTGCTTGGATCATTATATCAGCAGTTTTGGTCTGAGTTGTAGAAAGAACTGACTGCAATATAGCCATTTGTTAATTCCCAGAAGCTAATGTTATCCTGGAGTGCAATGGCTCCATGTGATAATCACTGGACTGCGAACCACAAGTTTTGTGGTTTTTAGCCCTCGAGCCACTCCTTCGAAACCCTACACAGAGTTGCTATGGGTCGGGATTGACTCAACGGCACTTAACAACAACAACCACTCCATAGGTGAAAGATGAGGCTTTCTGCTCCCACAAAGATTAGATGCCTCAGAAGCCTTGTATAGGGTGACTGTGAGTTGGAACCAGCTCAGTGGCACTTAACAACAACAATGTTAGTCTAGTAGCCTTTAAGGCATTGTAATTACACTAACTGAAAAGTGAGCAGTTTGAGCCCAGCTGCTCCATGGGATAAAGATGTGGCAAACAGCTTTCATAAAGGTTTACAGCCTTGGGCAGTAGTACACTATGAGTTGTAATCAACTCAGTGACAGTAGGTTTAGTGAGTTTTTAAATTTTCATCTCCCAAAAGGTTAATGTAATAATATAGGATGAGGCAGTGCTGCATATTGGAAAGAGAAAGGACTGGAATAATAGAATGCCCCAGGTTAATTCCAACCACACAGTTTGGAATCAGTCTTGTTGTAGTTAAGTGCTGCTGAGTCAGTTCCAATTCATGGCAATACTACGTAGAGCTTCTGGGGCTATAAATCTTTTGTGGGAACAGACACCTCATCTTTTTCCTTTAGAGCGACTGGTAAGCTTGAATTCCAGTGCTTATCCTGTAGAGCCACCATTCTCCATTTGGAATTGATATTGCTAGAGTTATTGACCATCTGTAAACCTTAGTTTTTTTATTTTTGTCTTTCTTTAATATTTTCATAAAGAAACCATTTAAAAAACAATTGCTGAATTCTGCCATTACCAGGCACTGTAATAAGATTCCAGGGATTGACACTAAATAGCCTAGTACACACATGTTAATTCTAGAGAAAGGAAAGGCAATACACAATCCAAGGAGAATTCAGTATCACACAACCAAAGTAAAGGAAGATACTGAGAGGTACACAAGAATAAAGGGCAACTAATGCTCCTCGGAAACCCTGTACAGCGTCGCTGTGGGTCAGAACCGACTCAACGGCACTTAACAACAACAACAACAACAACAATCTGGCAAAACTGTACTAACAAACGATTTGTGAGTAGATACATATAGATATGGGTTCTATAAATAGGTGTGGGAAGCCATTAGGAGTACACCCATGTGCATATATAGATATGGTTGTATCATTTTATTATATATATGAATACCACTGTGATTATGTAATTTATTATGTATATGAATACATGTGCATTCAAATATATAATTAAACACATAGGGACACAGTTATAAAAGCCTCCTAAACATAGCCAAACACTTCCCAAGATTGAGCTACTGGGCTTGAAGACTCAGGACATCTAGGTCAATACCTTCATCCTAGGTTGGTTAGTAGTGTTTGGGGTTTTAAAGACTTGCACACAACCATCTAAGATACAACTATTGGTCTCTCCTGTCTGGAGAAATAAAAGTGAAGAAAACCAAAGACTCAAGACAGTGCAGCCTCTTCTAGCTTGGACCATAACAACTAGGTAATACATGGTGACCACTACCGACTCCCCAGACCAGGAGCATATAATAGAAGGTCCTGGTTAGAATGGGTGAAAAATGTACAACAAAACTCAATTTCATATAAAAGACCAGACTTACTGATCTGACAGAGACTAGAAGAACCCCAATCCCTAAGTCAGTCGTCCTAAGACAGCCTTCTAAGTTGGAACTGAAGCCATTCCTAGAAGCTACCTTTCAGCCAAATAATTGACTGGCATATAAAACCTGTCAGGCATGTGCTCCATAGAACAATCATTATATGAGACCAAAATGTCAACATTTGCCCCAAAGAAAAGATGAGTCTGCAGGGAGGGGAAAACAAAAAACCCAGAGTGGAAAATGGGGAATGTTTATACATTGTGGAGATTATAGCAAATGTATTGGAACCATTTGTTTATAAATTATTGGAAGATGAATTTGCTGTGTAATTTGCTTTAGGTGTATACCTCAAGTACAGTAGAATGTTCTTTGCAGAAATTTATTCTAGGGATTAAACTATCAAGAAAGACTAAGAGATCTTTGTCCTCATGCAATTTGTATTCTGGTAGGAATGTGCAAGACAATTTTTTTAAAATAGTAATTTTATTGTGTTTTGTTAGATAGTGATATATATACTATGGAAAAAAAAAAATAAAACAGCAAAGGTAAATAAAGCATTGTATTACACAAGTGTTTATACTCTTATATTCTCATTTATTTTGAATGTGAGCCTCTTACAGACTAGTCTTCTGGTTTATGGGATGATTATAGTGAAGGACTGTTCATATTGTAAAGTTTCCTGCAATGGTAGGCAGTACTTTTGGAGTTGGAGGTACTGAATGTACTAATTCTTACCAACTAGCTTTTGTCTCTCTTCTCCTCTCGAACCAGAGACTTAAGTCTCTGTTACCTTGACAAAAATTTTTGAGTTATTTTACTTCCCTAGATAATGAGCATACAAAGTACTGGAATGCATTTTCATGTACTTTTATTATATATATCATGTTCTTTCATTCAGAAAAGACACATACTAAATACTGTTTGCTGGATGCTAGGAATATTAAGATGAACAAAAACAGATAAGTTCATGTCTTTAAAGTTTGATTTTGGTATAAGTGAATAGTTGCCAATAAAATGTTGTAAGATTTTATTCTAAATGGTATTCAATACTTTCTTCATAATCTATTTCTAGTAGATAAGAATAACTAAAGAGACTTATAAATCCCAAACTCTAATATAGTCTTACTTTTATTAGGAAGTAGATACCATATTGACCTTTACTAGCTTTATGAAGCTAGCAAAGTTATTTCCTTGCTAATCACCAGAAATTTAAAGCTTCTTCTTAAAAATTGACATTCCTAATTGGTAAAGTTTTCCCTTTTAAATTATAAGTAGATATTCTGAACTTTAAATAGAAATTTTATTTTATATCCCCTAAAAGGTATTTTTGGCAAATACCAGTCCATTTCAGCTCACTAATACATAAGATATCGATGTTTATGCATTCCATTTCATTTTTGACAACTTTCAATTTTCCTAGATTCATACTTCGTACATTCCATGTTCCGATTATCAATGGATGTTTACAGCTATTTCTCTTCATTTTGAGTTGTGCCCCATGAGCAAATGAAGGTCCCGCAGGCTTTTCTCCCACAGGCTTTACTCCATTCCCATCATCACGGTCAACTCTACTGTCAGGAGGCCGCTCTTTCCCAGTCACATTTTGAGTGCTTTCCAACCTGAGGGGCTCATTTTCTAGCACTGTATCTGACAGTGTTTCTCTGCTATTCATAAGGTTTTCAGTGACTAAATATTTGGAAGTAGTTCGTCACTCCTTCCTAGTCTGTCTCATCTGGAAGTTCATCTGAAACCTGTCCACCATGGGTGACCCTGCTGGTATTTAAAATACCAGTGGCATAGCTTTCATTATCACAGCAACTCACAAGGCACCACAGTACGACAAACTGACAAACAAGTGGTGGTTTAAAATTAAGAAAGGTGTGCAATAAGGTTGTATTCTTTCACCATACTTATTCAACCTGTATGCTGAGCAAATAATCTGAGAAGCTGAGTTATATGAAGGAAAATGTGGCATCAGGATTGGAGGAAGACTCCTTAACAACCTATGATATGCAGATGATATAAAACTTTGCTTGCTGAAGGTAAAGAGAACTTAAAACATTTACTGTTGTAGATCAAAGAGCACAGCCTTCAGTATGGATTACATCTCAATATAAAGAAAACAAAAGTCCTCACCACTGGACCAATAAGCAGCATTCTTATCAATGGAGAAAAGACTGAAGTTGTCAAAGACTTCATTCTTCTTGGATCAACTATCCACACTCAACAGAAGCAGCAGTCAAGAAACCAGATGACGTATTGCATTAGGCAAATATGCTGCACAAGACCTTTTTAAAGTGTTGAAGACCAAAGATTTCAGCTTAAGGACTAAGGTGCACCTGACCCAAGCCATGGTATTTTCAATAACCTCATATGCATGTGAAAGCTGGGACAGTGAATAAGGAAGACCATAGAAGAATTGATGCTTTTGAGTTATGATGTTGGAGGAGAATATTGAAAGTGCCATGGACTGACAAAAGAACCAATAGGTCAGTTTTGGAAGCAACGCAGCCAGAGTGCTTCTTGGAGGCCAAGATGGCCAGACCTCGCCTCTCATACTTAAGACATGTTGTCAGGAGGGACCAATCACTGGAGAAGGATATCATGTTTGTTAAGGTGAAGGGTCAGAGAAAAAGAGGAAGACCCCCCCAATGAGATGGATTGGCCTAGTGGCAGCATCAATGGACTCAAGAGTGGCAACAGTAGTGAGGTTGGCCCAGGATCGGGCAGTGTTTCGTTCTCTTGTGCATAAGGTTGCTATGAGTCGGTACTGACTCGATGGCACCTAACAACAACAACAAAAAGGTATTTATATTTGATAACACCGCTTATTTGATAACTCTTATCAAATATTTATCAGATCCAACTATTTCCAATAAAGAAAAAATATATTTTTTAATGGGAATTCCATTTTAATAGAATCTCCACTGGAGGAAACTACATTTTGAAAGTAGTCCAAGAAAGCATTTTTGTACATAAGAAATATATAGGAGCCGTGCTGAAGATCAGGGAAGGCTTTCTGGAAACAGGAAAAGAGGTGTATAATTCCAGCACGCTGGTACAGAAAGTAGGACTCTGGGAAAAGCCTAGTTGTAAAGATAGGAAATCTTGATTTGAGAGCATGAGAGTTTGTATCTTACTTTCTTAGGGTAGTAGTTCTCAGAATTTACCTGTAATTCTTTCAGGTGCACCATTCATACTGATATTATCTCTTTGGGGAGGCTTGCTGAGATAAGGACAGACTTGCAGTGGAAGGAAGAACTTAATAAAGTCACTTAAGGAAAGTGAAAACACTTTGTTTGGAATTTAATCTTTTGGTATTTGAAATATATGATGCTTTTATGTAAAAGACGAGGAAATTGGTAGCATTTCTTCTTTCAGAATGTTAATTCTCTCGCTACTTTTTGACATTTTTGGTCAGGTTTACATTCGTCTTTATCTCCATTTCCAGTTCTGAGGCATCTCTTTGGGAAGTTTTATACTATTCTTAAAGTGATCGCTATTAAAATTTATTAGCAAATTATCATTTTAATCACTACAGGATTGGGATGGTAGTATAGCACTGTGAAGTGCTATATTAACGATAAAATTCAGTAACAAGGTCCTGGCAGTATTTGTAAAATGGTGTTTTCCATTACAACTGTAAGCATCCTGATGTTTTGTTATTACAATGTTCTGTTTGTTGGTTGATTTTCAGTCGATTCCCTTTTTGCTTACGTGAGTCACTCAATTTGTTTCAGAAAAATTTTTATTCTTATGATATTTATGTGTTCTCTTCTGTATTCTTTTAACACTTTTATAGTGGTTATGACTTTGGCTATTTAATCAAAATCCTGACCAACTCTAACTTGCCTGAAGAAGAACTTGACTTCTTTGAGATCCTTCGATTATTTTTTCCTGTCATATATGATGTGAAGTACCTCATGAAGAGCTGCAAAAATCTCAAAGTAAGGTTCTGAATGTCATTATCTGTAATCAGCACAATATTTAGACTGAGTGTCTGGTGTAAAATCCTAAAATAGAATGTTCTTTTCAAACAGTATTTGTTAGTTTAATGTAAAATGCAGTTAAACTGGCTGGTCATTTGATTTTTTTTTTCCATGTATTTATATATATCATATGTTTATCTGTATTTGTCTGTGATATCTGTAGGATAATGCACTAGACTGCAGGTCAGTTTGAACCTTAAAATTTGCAGTTCATACTCATCAGCTGCTCCTTGGAAACCCTATATAGGGTTGTGATAGGTTGGAACCAGTTTAATGGCACTTAATAACAGCAATACATACGTGTATATGTGTGTGTGTGTGTGCGTATATATATGTATATGGACTTCTGGAGTAGTGCTGTAGGATAAGCTTGACTGCAAGTTTGGTTTGAACTACAAGGTCAGCAGTTCAAATTCACCAGCTGTTCCTTGGAAACCCAGGGTTACTTTGGGTCGAAATGGACTCAAAGGTACTTAACAGCAACAACATATATACATACACACACACACATATACATATGGAGATATAGAGTTCTGGTCTGCTACTGTAGGCACTGAACTACAGACCCACAAGGTTAGTAGTTCAAAACCACCAGCTGCTCCTCGGAAGCCCTATTCAGCGTCGCTATGAGTCTCACCTGACTTGATGGCCCTTAACAACAATAATCTCACGGGAAATCTTTTATCAAAGTTTCAGCATGTATTACCAAAGTAAATTTTCAGCAAAATTCAAAGCAGGTTTCAGATTTTTATCATTGCTTCCCAGATTGAGAAGTTTGAACCAGATCAGAAATCTGGGAGTAATGAGGTGCATATGCACAAATAATTTGTCTATGCAATGTAAAATCTTAGGTAAGCAGTGAAAGAAGTATAAGGGAGTTTAAAAGTTCTTGGAAAGATTGATTTAAAAGATAATGGGCATTTTGAAATTTTCAAATGTTTTGCAGTGTGATTTTAAAAGTTTTCCTCTCCATATATCTTCATTAGAGGCTGTTTTGGTGTTTTAGTTGGTTTAAAGGAGTTTGCTTGTCTGTGGTAAGTGGTAAATTTATAGATTCTTCCTAGATAGAAGCTTACATTCTGTCACTGGGTAACGTGTGTGTAATTTTTTTATTCTGAATATTCTTTCAAAAGAAAAGATTCACTCGTCTGTCGTGCTGTGGTGGTTTGAGTTGCTGTGATTCTGAGGGCTATGCCACCTGTGTTTTAAATAACCAGCAGGGTCACCCATGGTGGAAAGGTTTCA